ACAATTAATTTCGCAAATTTATTATCTGACTCAAAGAAGAAACCTCGTCACTCTCGTCATCATAATCCTATTCCTCTAACTTGGGCGCAGAGTAATGTAAGAAATTTCTGCATTCGCTATATTTGCCCGTAAGTTAATTGTTGTTTTCATTTTTACAATTTAAAATCGAATCAGAGCACGTGATTCGATATTATGCTCGTGACATTCCGCGTTTTGCATCCAACAGATTCATGATTCTAATTACAGCACGTATGTATACTTCGATCTGAACTCTGGACTCGCAAAAGATTGGATTGAAGTGCGATTTGATTGCTTTTATTGTTATTTCTTCGTTTTTTTTATTGTGGCTGATACAACATAGTTCGCTTCTTTTTGTCTTCGCTAGGGTTGATGCAAAAGTCGATAAATTCAGTTTTTATCCTATTCTAATATTATTGAAAAAATGTTTTTGGTTGAAATTTTCACAATTCACACCGTGTAATATGAAACTCGTACATACCTTATATTACGTACTGAAGCCTACGATAACCATTATACGAGTAGTTTTTCTTTTTAATCTAACGAAAATACTTTAAAATTGAAAATGACGCGCTAAAACTATCGTAAATTATGACTTTTCATTAAAAGTTCCGTTAACACGTTGTATTGTCTAACAAAATTGACTATGTTTTACATTTACTCCACACGATAAAGTTTTGAAGCATAAACTCTTACATAAGCCATTTGCAATTATTTTTCTACGCAACAAGTTTTAGAAAAGAAAGATGGAATTAAATATGTGAAAATCATGATTTCCGGTACATTGAAGTTATTATTTCTCTAAAAATTTATTTAAATCTTAAATTCAAATTCGTTTCAAAATGTTTAGCGTACGAAATTTTATGATTCATCAATTAACCTAATAAAAATATTCAGTTCTACGAAATTCATGGAGAATCCTCAGAGATTTCTCTTCGAGAAAATATCATCGAAATAGCAACCGCGTGAGTAACATTTAAGAGTCGAAGGAAGTAAGAAGCTAATTGAAAATAGTGCGTTGAATTTCTATGAAATTTTGTTAACAGTGGATTTCCATAAAATCTGCAAAAAAGAGAAAAAGGAAAGTAAGATATCCCGCCGTCAAAGTCACTGCAACGACCGTAAAATCTGGTCATGCGAAAAAAAATCGGTACGTGTGCTTTCGCATGCACTGAGAAGACGTTGGGTGGAGAACGCAAATAGCAGCATACGTACCCAGAAGTTAGCAGCAGCGCGAGCTTTCTTCGAAGTTTGACGGCAAACGGGAACAAGGTCGCGTGTGCGTGCGGCAGCGCGCACCCAGAGAGGTCGAAAACACACAGTGGAAAATTTTGGGATATTCCTCGCGGCGCCGTTGGCGCGTCGCTCAGCTGAGCGAGAGCAAGAGAGAGAGAGAGAGAAAGAGAGAGAGCGCACGTGTTTCATTGACCCGCTGGAGAACACATGGCCTTTGCACGTTTTGTCTTAAACTTCTCCCCCCTCTATCCTTACCGTGGTAAGTGTATACATAGCTACGCACGAAAGGGATTAGCTCTACGCGACAAATTCTTAGACAGCTATTATGTGACTAATGAGAACTGTAAGGAAAATGCCTCGGCTTTTACGATAGGAAAATTATTCCGCGTGCTCGGCTTGTCTCCGTTTGTTCTTTCCGCCTCGCGGCTGACAGGTCACGACGTTGTTTTCGAAAACAACAAATACAAATGCCTTTTTGTGATTAATTGACTATCCATTACAAATAGGCGCTCTCGTAAACAATGTTTTATTGAAATAGCCTCTCTCTCATTTTTTTAAAGATTCTTAACTGCACGGCATTGATAGAAAGATACGAAGGAAAAAATCCGAGCTCTTGAACATCAATAATGCTCCTTCAATGTATACATGTTATAATTTTCAAACTGCCCGTGAATTGTGATTTCATCGCGATCTTCCTTCTTGTCTCGTGTATTAAAAGATCAATATGTTTTCATATGCATTATACTAACCATGTCATTTCACGTAGAAAAAGTAGAAATTACCTCAGTTGTATTGGGGAAAAAAGGTAGTAATGAAAAATTCATCGTTTTTTTATCATCGGCAATGAGCTGTTTTCTCGAGATCTGCTAGATAAATATAGAGAAGAAAAAAAAATGCATTAATTTTCGAGAGCGTTCACATTCTATTGGTGTGACTTGTATTATGAATAATCACATTAGATTTAGCGATGTACCATGTGCATACGCGGTACGGCATTGACAAAAGAAAAAGATAATTATTACAAAAAGGAAAGATAATGTTGATCGTTGTTGATTCCGTTTTACAGTATAATTCACAATGTTGTAATATCACTAAGTGGTTCGTGAGATACATTTGAATAAAAAGCTAATAGAAATCATGAATTATTACAAATCGATAAGCTAATTCCTTGAATGTGTGCATTTAATGCCTGAAAAATAGTTGTTGGTACGTCTTCACTTTGCATGCATGATTAAGTAGTATTGCCGAGAATGTTCTTTAAGTAAATTTTATAGTTAACAAAACAACATTTTTTGACATTGTCTCTCTATCAGCTAGAAACTTTTACAAATGACATTAATCACTTAAATCAGTCAATTAATGATCGAATTTTTTGTTAGTCAAGAAAGTCACATTTGCGCAACGGTCATCCAATAATCGTCCTATATTCTTTTCATCTCACGAGAGCTTTAACTTATGTAATTTTTCAAGCTGCGAAGGTGAAGCTTCTTTCAAGTACATATAATCTGTATTCAAAATGTCATATGGAATCGACCACATCGAACAATGTTCTCACGCGAAAGTGTAATGCCATTGGTGTCATAAACATTATCTTATTTGCGCAAATAAAATAGTGTATTAATGAGGTTTCAGTAAATAAAATTTATATTACAATGAGAAAGAGACATTTGATTATATTTGAGAAGGATGAGATAAGAAGAATGCGCGCAATTTCAAAGTCGACAGATGAGCTAGTAAATAGATTTTACAGGTTGGCACAAGAAATTTTTTTCAAGTAAAATTTATGCCTTATTTAACTACATATCTTTTATAACTTTGCATAACTCACATTGTTATAAGTATGAAAGTGTTGCATAATCAAATAGAATTGAAAAAATTTATTAGAATTGACAAAACATCATTATAGAAATTATATTATTGCAATAGGTGACTGTAGTTATTTTGAAAAATTGTAAGCATTTTGTAGTTGCACTAACTCCTCAATTGCATCTTTCAATAATACCGACTGAGCTCAGGTTTAAACGTTAATTCAAGACTATTATCAAGCTTTTTAAACTTCAAATAAAACATTAAGATTTCGCGTAATGTCCAGAAACTAATGAATAATACTACCTAAACGTAAAATCGACTCATAATTTACTTAATAGAAAAAAAAAGATAGAGAACGTGCAAATCACCACGTATATATAGCCTGCCGATAGACAATATCGGCTTTCATTATTGTGATTTTTATTATAACATACGGAATGGAAAGGGCAGAATTAGCGATTGCAAGATCAAAGTCATGTTAGTCGTTTACACGGTTCACATGCACACGCACGCACTCTTGCTCACACAACAGACGAAAGATAAAAAATGAAACGAAGTTAGAGGCAAATCCCAATGACTCCTATGTGGGAATTTTGAGTGAAAAAGAGAGAGGAGAAGATAAAGAATCGTCAGAGAGAAAGATAGAGAGAGAAAATGAAGAAGCGATAAGAACAGACTGCGTCAAATCATCCAAGAGCTTCTTTCCGCTCCTCTCTCTCTCTCTCTCTCTCTCTTGCTCGTTTCCACCACCACCCTCGTGAGAGTATAGCTTGTTTGGTCGTTAACATAATATAGCCGAGCCGGCTGTGCGCTGCCAAGTTAGTCAGTTGTCGGCACTTCTCCGGACCGATCGCCTCTACCGTCTCCGGGTCTCGCTCGCTCTCGTTCGGGGTTATTATACTTCGAATACTTGTGTGTGTGCGCGCACTTTCGAAAGCGATTCGGAGCCATTTCTGTGTAATCCTGCATTTCGTCTGTTTTTCTGACATTTCTGTATAGAGTGAGTTTTTATTTTCTATTTTTTTACTCCATTGCCATTTTTCGATTGTCATTCTCTTTTTTGTGCTATTATTTTTGGAAGCTAAAAAGAGAAAAGAGTTGTAGTTATTGTTTCACGATCGCTGTGAGAAGAATTTTTAATTGTAATTTTGTGAAATTGAGAAATTAAATTGAGAAAATAATACGCGTGTACAATGTAAATTACTAATAATTTTCAACTATTTTACTGAGAGTAATAAACATTGTATTTCAACTATTGTACTCGTTTAACTTAATAAATTTTTTAGTTTTGTAAAGACGTGAATATAAGAAAATTTAAGGAAAAAACTTCAAAAAATACCACTCAATTATTTCACAATACTTTCTTGTAATGGTACTTATTGGATCACACGTAACACCTCAATTGGAATTTACTATGTCAATTTCATTTTCTGTTTATTTACAATAACTGTATATCCGCTGAAAACAGTATCAGCGAGCCCCTCTGTATAATGATACCTGAATGATTGCTCATTAACATAACTGGTTTTCATTCGCATATTTCTATTTTTTTTTTTTTTTTTGGAATACGTATATTATCATTTGACAAAGTTGAATCAGAGCATACAATGACATGATGTATGCAGTAGCAAACTTATGCAAGTGGCTTCATGAAATATTTACTCATTAGGCAATCACGTGCTTATTGTCGCCATCGCCGCACCGATTCTACACTAACTTGGGTGAAAGTTCGTGAAACTAACGCCGAGATTGAATATTTTGAGAATACTGTTAAAAAATCGTAAAAGAGAGTTCTTTCTATCATTCTCAGTTAGAAAAATTTGGTATTCAAAATTTAAAATATTCTGTAAAAAGAATTTTTGTATAATTGCCGAAAGGTAAATTCAGCTTTAAGAAATCATTAGTGAATAACCAACGAAAATTTTGTTTGTCCACAGCTTCACCAGTTTCATCCTACCTCAATATGGCAATGGAATCATCGTCTCTGGTAGTTGATTATCTGATATTCATCGCGTTCATCGCTGTGTCCTTTGTGATCCCACTATGGGGTAAATTTCGTGCGCGCAAAAAGCAAGAAACCAAAGCCGACTACGTGTTTGCCGCGGGTTCAAGTGTCTCCATAGGGGCTATGATGTTGTCGATAGCACGTGGTACACTTGGAGTCAGATCGTTCCTTGGCTATCCGTCGGAACTCTACTATCGTGGTAGTGCCATGTGGGAAACACTATGGGGTATGCTGCTCGCTTATCCTATTGTCTGTTTCGTTTTTGTGCCGGTCTACTACAGCCTTGGCATCACTTCTATCTACCAGTATCTCGACATGAGGTGAGGCATTGTGCTAAACATGTGCATGCGCGAGTGACTGTCTCAAGTGCCAAAATTAGAAGTATCTATATGTGCTGTGCTGACTTTCGAAAAAGCTGTTAATGACAAAGCACCATCTGTAACTCTGTAACAAAAAATTTGTTACTTATAAAAACTCTTTCTTTACTTCATATACAGCGAAATATTGCTGTAAAAAATCCATCCTTGAAGTGTTCATTGTTTTGAAGATTCTTTCTTTACTTCATACATAAAATACTTTCATTAGCATTGAGTTGTTAAAGCAGCAAAAAATCATAGTTACAATGTTTATCGCATAGAACAGAAAAAAATAGAATAAAAACAAAGCCTCTCTACTCGTCCGTGAAGCAGATAGGGCGGCTATCATAGTACTTCATTCCACTTTCATTTTTCTATATCACCCGTTCATGGCAGTTCAGTTCTTTGATCTCTCTACTATTCTGACCTTCTTTTTCTATTCTCACATATAGAGAAAAATGATTCGTTGAATTTTTTATAGATGGAGGCTTGGTTATATTCAATGATTTTAATGACACTTTGTAATGAAATGTTAATTGTAAAAGCTCACTAGTATGCACGTTCATATCGTGACATGTTAGATTTATTTTTAGATGGATAATTTACCATTCATCACCGCAGTTCATTTTAGTTTCATAACTTGCGTCATACAATGTAAAAATTTTGAACATATTTTCACGCCTAAAATTATATGGCAAAGATACTCTTTTTATTATCGGGACAGTGCAAAAACATTTTTTCTGAATAAGATAATAATGATTCATTTCTCGAAACTTGGTTTTAGAGATGTATCGTTGTAGACAGCAATAATTTGTTAAAACAATTATTAATGTCAAAAATATGAAAGTTTTGATATGAACAGTGATAAAAAGAACTATTCAAATATTTTCAACAATACGACTTTGACAGTCTTTTATCATTCAATTTTTTTCAAAGGAATTTGTTGAATCTTCTGATTTTCACGTTCGCTCTCGGAGTTTCCCTTTTTCTTATATGATTTCTCTTATTTGCCTTTTTCTACTTTTAGACTTTTTTATGTTTCGTAAATTTGTATTTTCTCTGCGTTATCTCAATTTTGTATTTTATTCTTTTATCATACGCTCGTTGCTGGAGTAAATATTGTGTCTTTAATGTACTCGCAGAAAACAAATTCCGTAAAGCATGTACATCTCTCGAAGTCGAGAAAAAATTATTTCGCGACGAAGAGAAAATAACGCACGTCGAGTTTCTAAATATTTGCTTTAAAAACATTTTTTATCAAAACTTGATGAAAAATTGGTTTTTCCTTCAATCATGCCATTACTTGAATCACGTAAGAACTTTTGTTTTGCTATGTATGACTCATTTGGCCGTGCACGATTTTCATAGTTTAATTACCTTGAGCAATCCATTTGTAATCAAGCATTTTGAAAAGCACAGAAAATATGAATGTTAAATTACGTTTATTTTTACAACTGTATAATGAAGGGTTGGGTTATAAACAGTTAATTCGTTTAAATTTATTTATACGTACAGTATAAAATACGTATAGTTTACATAATGATACATTCAGTTTTGAAAATTATTCAACGAAATGTAGATATTTATTAGAAGTTTCTTTTTCTACCTATAACATAATATTTATGGTTTCTTGTTTTATTGGAATTCACATAAGTTTTGTTTTATATTTTGATACTTTATCATCAAGTTCGTCAATAAAAGAATTAACAGACGTTTAAAAAAACAGTATCGCAGTTACTAAGCAAGCCTACTTTTGATAATCGTATCATGAGTTTTGCAACGTGTTTCGCACATGCTCCCGTTGTTATTCTAAAAAATAACATTCGCAGTACTTCAAGATAACAAAGTACAACTTGTGGCTTAAAAGTGCTTTATAATTGTCATAAGTGCATTCCACTTGCAATGTATAGCTGTTAAAAATCGAATGTATCTACAGAAGCACTACATTGATACAGCTTTTTTATTCCAGATAACGTTGAAATTTGGAGCTTTCATAGATTTCAAACAACTGATTTACTTCATTCATTTTTTATGATGCTTTGCATCACTTTTGATTATATGCAAATCTACAATTAAACTTTGTCGTTATTCAAAAATGTGATTTGCTAGTTTTGTGGAAAAGAATTCGTTAAGCTTTCGTGAGCATTGTTTTTCCTCGCATGTCAACGTTGCTAAAAACTATCTATTTTTAGAATTACATTACAAGTTAGTTTTGATTTTTCACTTTTATTTATTATCAGAAGTTATATTTAGTTGGTTGAATTAATGAATGCAAATTCTACAGAAAACCGCTATAAATTATTTAAATTTCACTTAAAATTTATTTTATTTTTCAGGTTCAAATCGAAACTAGTACGATGCCTCGCAAGTTTCTCTTACGTTATCAGGAGTCTGTTAAACGTCTCGGTAACGGTGTTTACGCCTTGCGTCGCTTTGAAAACTGTGATTGGTCTACCTTATTGGGCCAGTATTTGCGGTATCACTGCTATATCAGTTGTCTTTACTTTAATGGTAAATTATCCGATAACATCTAAATAATCAAGATGTTACAATATCACCTTGAGTATAGTTATTCTAATTTTCTTATTTTTTTATGCAGGGAGGATTAAAAGCTGCTATTCTTTCTGATGTCATACAAGGCTTAACTATGATTGGGGTTTCAATTGTAATAATGATTCACGGAACCGTCGACGCTGGTGGTTTCGATAAAGTCGTAAACATCACTAATACAAGAGGTCGTCTGGACTTTTTCAAGTAAGTATTTACATATCTATGCTTCTTCAACCAGCAAGCTTTTAATTAGCACGGCATATTCGTAACATTTTTTTTTCTCTTCTTTTTAGTTTTGACATGGACCCAACGATTCGAGTAACTACGATATCAGCCATTGTGGGTCAACTTTTTATGAGTCTCTCCATCTTGGGTTGCCAGCAGAACTTTGTTCAACGCTACTGCAGCATGAGTAGTCGTTCGAAAGTCGTCAAGTACGTATTTATCTATTAATTTTTCGTTAGCAATTATTATGACCTCTGAATTGTTCAGCCAAATAAAACCAACGTATTATTTTTTGTAGAACGATGATGATGAATATCCCCGTAATCACCGTATTGTTCTCGTTATCATGGGTAGTGGGTATGGTAATCTTCGCCAACTATGCCGACTGTGATCCAAAGACTCTTGGCTACACCAACAAGTACGATGAGATAGTACCATTTTACGTGGAGGACAAATTTGTGTATCTTCCTGGATTATTGGGTTTAGTCATGGCGACACTTTTCAACAGCTCTCTTACCATTACAGTGTCGATTCTAAATTCACTGGCTACCGTTACTTTTGAAGATTTCCTCAGTCAAATTCCAGCACTCAGAAACCTAAAAGATACCCAGCAATTGAAAATAATCAAGTCTCTATCAGTGTTCTATGGTTTTCTCGTCATTGGTGTCAGTTTCCTTGTAGGTATGTTATCTGGTGTAATCGAGTCGTCGATGTTAATGACTTCGGCCACTTCTGGTCCTCTCCTCGGTGTTTTTGTGCTAGCGATGTTGGTACCTTGCGCAAATTGGAAGGGTGCAGCTGCTGGTATGATTTTCAGCCACGTGACTACTCTTTGGTTGACTTTTGGACGCCTTAGTTTAGATATTCCCGTTGATGAACTACCGTTGTCTATCGATGGTTGTCAAAATGATACTTTCTCGTCGCATCTTATGAAACCAAAAGACAGTGTTATTTCTGTACAATATTCAATGGCTACCAAAAACACACTGTTCGAAGATGAAACTCCCGACGGTATCTTAGATAATGTCTATGGCATAACTTATATGTATTATGCTCTGATTGGTAGTATTTCTACCGTCTTGGTTGGGAGTATTGTCAGTTTGTTGACTGCTGACTCGAAAGGAGACGCTTATGAAGAACATCTCCTTCATCCTATGGTGCTGAAGTTATCCAAGTGGATGCCAGGAAAACCTCGATTGTATGCCACGAGTTCACGTTTCAATGATAACAACAACACCGTTAACGGTACGGGACAGACAAGTCTTAATGATGTATCTGATATAAAGAAAATGGAACAGAAAATTCAAATGGACAACGGTTACATTGAGAAACTCGACGCCCTTAAGAAGGTTACCCTCGAGGTTACGAATGAAGTGAATAAGGGTACCAAACTTTAAAATGGAGATTCGGCTTACCCAGACTGATAAGCAAGTAATGATGATCTTTTTGGTGCTTCGCACGAGTGTGTTTGTATGAGTGTGCATAACGAAGAATGATTTGGTTGTTTTTTAGTCATGACGGTAGTGTTAGTAGTGCACGACTAAGCAGTATTTGACGCGCTGAGTTGCGATACTCAAGTGTATAATGATGAACTCGATGGGAGACTGAGGTGGAAGGATTATTTGTTTTTTTTTTTCGTTGTTTTTTATAATTATCTCGATCGAAATCTTCAGTTCCTTCATTCAAAGTGATTGCGAACTCGCTCAACTTGGATTGCACATTTTATTAAGTTTTCGCTATATTAGTGTTTTAGTTTCGTAGATGATTTTTTATACTTAGTTTATTAGGTTTGTCTTGATTAGTGTAGTATATAAATTTATTATTTATTCTAGATTATTTTCTTTTAATGTGCATTCTAAGGTGAACGCATCCGACAAAATCTTTTACAAGTGCTTAGAATTTTAATGTTAAAGATTACATCGAATGGAATAAAAGAAAAAGCAAGAAAATTAGTTTATGTATCTTCAATATTGTTCGTTGTTTTCTAGTTGGTACAGATACAGAAGATCTGATTTCGATCAATTATTTTTTTATTGCAACTTATATATTCGTAGTTTGATTTTACAGTGATCTTATACGTTCATACATACATTATACTGATAACAAGGAAAATTTATTGCACTTAATATTAAAGATAATATTGATTAATTGATTTTCCTCCCTATACATAGGGAAGGAAAAAAATTAGCAACATTACTTTAACAACATTTCGTTGTATTTTTTTCAATTTCAAATTACAATTTTTTTTTCTGACTCACCAGCAGTATATTAACATCTTTTAAAAGACTCTTTTGAGAGAAACTCACATGTGTAAAAGAGAAACGAAGAGAAGTTAAAAAAATGTTGAGCCTTCAACGCGTATATACGAGTAAATTTCCAGTGTTAAAAATCCAAATACAAGTAGAAATACTTTTTCTCTTCTCACGTTTTCCTTCTCTTGAGTTTTAAGTCTAGATATATACCTTCCGTCGACGGTAGATGTAACAAAAGGGAGAGAATGAAATGGAAACAAGACGAAGATAAGATATGCCGTAAAGGGAAGACGAAGATAGTGACGTCATGCGGATAAACACATCCGTCCCTTGTACCTGCGAAGATGAGCGCGGCCACTTTTCTGAAGAAGGACACTTCCTTTTTTACCTCTTTGCCTTCTCTACTCGTGTATTATAGGCCACCCTAAAGACACTTTTAAGTATTTATTTCTTTTCGTCTTTCTCTCCCCTTTTTTCTATCGGAAAAACTAGCTTTTACTTCACACTTAAATGTCTTTCATGGGAGGAGAAAGTACTTATATTATGTGCAATTTACAGTTTATTCTGGAATGTTTTCATGGTTTTTACATAGTATTTTGATTTTAAATATCGTATGCGCAATTTAAAAATGTTTGAAATGGCCAAAGTATTTTTAAATAATATAAGTACTTGAAATAGTCATCTAAATCATTTGAAATATCAGCTTTGAGCATGAAAAATTATATTGCATTTAAATGCGTATAAAAAAGAAAATATTTTGAAATCTATTTAAATTTGTTAAATTGAAATTTGAATATACTAAAGATTTCTTTAGTATGTTTAAATTTATCGTAATTAAAGTTCATATAAATACACGATCGATAAAGATATTCCGTTGAGAGAAAGATATTGCAGTGATGTTGAAAAAAATGAGCTAATACTTTTGAGAAAAATTTACTGTTTTATAAACCCTAACTACGTTTCGAAAAAACAAGTTTTCGATTACTAGTGGGTTTAATATATATTTGAATATTTGTAATATAAGAAATTGTATAGTATCTTAAATACTAAACTTTGTAAGTTATATAAATATATTGACACGGCATGTAATATGTATATTTATGTGCGAAAAATATTTTACTCAAAACGTTTGTAATATACGAATAATGCAGGCGATATTATAGCTAGTAACTAAATGATGTATTTTTTTAATAAGTCTTGCCATATGCATTATTTTTGGAGAATATACATGTATAAATTAGACTCGAGAGCTCTGTTGATCTTACATTAGTTGACGATGTTAATATGTAATTATTGATTAGTGAGTAATTAGAAGATTAGCATTTTCGGTTAATAAATCGATATAAGCGTGCGAGTGACAGCTGTTCTCATGCACTTGCTATATTATCACTTAAGTTTGTTATAAACGATATTGCATTGTCGATCGGTCAGATCGAGCAGAAACTAGCAGTAAATACACTGTACAATATACTCATGTACGATGTACATGATCAGATTGAAATACACTTTTTTTAAATAGTAATTTTCTTCTTTCATTTCTTATCCTATTTTCCGTGAATTTATCTATTTTCAAATAATTATTTCGGTATCGGAATATGCTTTTTCGTGATTTATAAATTTTAATTGCTTGCCATATGACCTGTTGAAAAAAAATTAGAAAATTTGCATGACACGTATAAATCTATCAAGCAAAGAAAATACTTGCCGTTAGCCCTGCATATATACCATGGTATTATATTTCGCGATTGAAAGGCTCAGAGCGAAAAGAACAGAGCTTGCACTGTTTACGCACAAAAATGGAACTCGTGAAAAATACTCCTAGGCCACGTTGGTAGAGTGAATAAATATTCAGCAATACAAAATGTTACGTGAGGGTGCTTTTGCACGCTCTAATATTAGATTTTCATGAGCGCTCAATGTTTGGTTTTTTGGGTTCATCTGGAAACAATTGATGCATACATAAAATAATCTAATAAAGATGAGCTTATTTTTAAATATAAAAACAATTCGATCACAAAATATTTTTCTCAATTTCAATAAAACTTAATGAATGCCTTTTTGACAATTTAATATATTCCGCTAGAAGAAAGTAGCAATTAATATTTACATAGTTATAGCTTGTTTTTTTCCATTGACATTTTTGCAAACTATAAGTAATTAAATATTCCTGACTGAAGTTTTGATAATTAATTCGATAAATATGGAAATTTTGAATCAATATTGAATCTATTTTGAAACATTTTTAGTTTTTAAGTATAAGATAACAACATGTGTGCACCAACGACATTTAAAAAAAAAATAATTATACACCTTGATCATAAACAAAGCCAAAGCTATACCCACGAATTACATCAAAATTCAAATACATTAATCACTGTCACGCATAGAATGAACATTAATCGCGTTCGCACTAAATATCTGAATAAGCATTATAGTCTTGAACCGTATATCCCTTTAACAGCTGAAGGTCTAACTACTAATTTCCTAAAGGCTATCGTTTCTATATCAATCTATATATAAACATACAAAATACAAAACATATAGGTATATGCATTTACATTGACGCCTGCAGTCATCGCTATACTCCGGACAGACAGGTTGCGCGTGTTCATTATCGGCTGCTGCACTCTGTGCACGATACTGGAATTATCCGTGGGTTATCTTTGCTCGTTCTCGGAGAAATTGAGCGAGCCAAGCTTACACTAGAGCGAGCGATAGTACAAGCGATCCAGTAAGCCTTGGATACGATGCACAAATGTCCTATAAGAAGCAAATATAATTATTTAGTTAATTATCTTGATGTTCATATGAGTCTTTATATGCAACTTCGTGAAAGATATTTATTAGAGTGGATAATATAAAGTATATGATTTACCTTGATCATTTTAATGATTGATTTGAATATGTTTCGACATATACAGTGATCTTGAACGTAATTTTAAAATTTGAAATTTTAATCAGATGTTATACTTGAAAACTAAATTCTTTATTTCAAGATCACTAATTATAATATTGCCCAAATCAAGTTTAAAACGGTTTTCGTCTTAAAATACTATGTAGCCATGCAAAAGTATATAGTAATACATAAAATGTGGCAACTAGAACAAATTATAATTTAATCGCACATAGAGATATTTCACCTGTAAAATAAAATTCTTAAATATTTAAAATGCAGTCTGTCCATAGTTTACGCGGAATGAACGTTCGCACAAAAGTCAATGGAAACTCGCGTAAAAACTGCAATCCCAAATAAAGCGGCGGCGGGTACCTGCTATATGAACGACAAACGAGTGAGAGAAATGAACTGCATATGTTTACCTTTGACGGAGAGCCTGTGTGGGTGCATGCGCGTGTGCATGCATGTGTGTGTGTGTGTACCGTGGGGATGACACGATATATAGCAGGCGTCGGACGAACAAAAGGGTCAAAATGATAACTGCAGAAGTGGCTATGTTTAATGTCAGACATTCGCGCATTTGTAAGTGCACTATCCACAAAGCGAATTTAGAACTCCAGCATATTTGAATGTAGGATATAAACGCATATCAATTATTATTACTAGTGATGTCTAGCGCGTTTCGGGTGTTCATTTTTTTCGATTTTTTTCGCATCTATTTTAATACACGAATGTAGATCACAACTTTTATTGGTTAAATTGAAAATTCGAAAATTTAACACGTATTAAATATTCCTATGATTTGATGTGAGATATAGCCGACGTTATAATTTATTGATAAATAAATATGCAATTATGTTAGATGATCAGGATTTTTCAGTGTTACCAATGAAGTCTTACGTTTTTATCAGCCGAAGTTCTGTGTTAAAAAATCATTTAAAAGTTTCAATAAACACGATAAAAAATGTGATATAAGATATAAAAACATAGTTTTTTATACTCGTATAATTGAATTCTTCACGATATCAATAACAAAATTCGATGTAGACGTTTCACGGTTGTAATTAGTGCATTCTTCAAAAAATTTTAAAATATGTTATATAACTTAATACGGCCGAAATCCCTGTACAATATTTTATCCTGATAATCTATCGCTCTATATTTTTTATTGCCTTCTCTGCTTATTTGAAACGAAACATTCGCACAGAGAAGTTTTTTTTATTGCTTTATTTATAGTCGCATCGACAACTGGGCCATTAGCGACTTATAAAAATTTACATGGTTTTGCACAATATGTTATATAGTGTAAATTGTGATAAATACATTATTTTACATAGGATAAAAAAGTATTACAATATGAGAAATTTTAATTTTGCCCATGAGTTTTATGTCTTTTATAAATTTAATCACTTTGCAGAACACTTGTGGATCATTGAGTATATGATATTAGGAAAGAGATTGTTTTTTCTTCTTTCATCATTAAAAGAAGGACATTTTGTCAGAATGTGTGGAACTGCCAACCTTAGTTTACTGGTATCACAATCATCAGGAGCATTTTTTTCTAAAATGTGCTGATGTGTCAGAAGTATATGTCCTATTCTCAGTCTTGTAATAATTTTTTGTTCTTTCCGATTTAGCTTGTAGTCTTTAAATTTTTGTGAAGTATCTTCTCTTGTCGAGCTTAGGAAGGTAGTGTTACAGTTGCGCCATTTATTTTGCCAAAGTAGTGAAACTGCTGCGGACAGAAGGATTTGTGCCTGAGTTATCAGTAGCAGATCGTTTCCTGAAACAGATTGATTTTCCGCAGCCTCTTGAGCGAGAGAGGCTAATCTCATTTGTCTGGTAGATGATAGTCTGGCTTTGGATATTACAATACTGCTATCTTTGTTTATTCTTTGGAGTATCTTGTTTTGAATGGTTTCAATCAACTGGTTTTCAGTATATGGTTTTGTGAGATGATCGAAAATGAAATCAGAGTTAATAAAAATAACGGCATTTGAATATTCACGTGATTCTACTAATTCAAGAGCATAGAGGAGGGACATACATTTTGCTTCGTACTATTTTTCTACACTAGCTTTTGTAGAAGATAGTCTGTTCTTGCAAAAACTATCATAGCCTGATATTTTAGCACAAAAGTCTTTTTTGAAGTTAGTTTCTTGTAGACAAAGAATGCTTGGATTTATATCGCATACGAGCTTACGTAAGAAAGGGAATCTTTTGTAGTATCCGTTTAAATTCCATTGCCATAGCGTGATAAAATTATTTTACTCATGTTGTTTATTATTCATTATAATTATTTTTAAGATAGGTTTCTCAATTTCTATGTGCCCTCTCGTCCTGTCGAGGAAGTTCAAAAATTGTAGATGATTTAGGGGATATGTACTATTAGGGTCCTCTAGTATTGCTTTTAGTGAAAGTATTCTATTTTCTAGGGAAGACGCTTCATCTAGTTTAGTTTTTTCTACTTTACTTTTTTTGCTGGGTTTCCTAACTTGCTTGATTTATCTGGATTATTTCCATTTTTGAATACATTGATTCTGCTTTAATACGGCGTTAATACATTGATTCTGCTCCCACACAATCTAAACCATGGTTCCACAAAACTTAACTTCATAGAAAACATATCACCACTATTAACAGACTTAGAAACAACCACGATTCTCTAGCAGCCAGTCTATACAGAAAGAATTTTATGAATTCCCCCTCATGTCAATGTGGATCTCCAATACAAGACATTGACCATATTGTATGGTCTTGCCCTTCGTACATATCTCAGAGAGAAACACTAATCAAAAAACTAAACAAATATACACAAAAAAGTAAAACTTCCCCAATAACTACAACTATTAATATATTAAAACTCCCTACTCATCCCCATGTCTCTTCTTAACCGAATTTCTTAATAAATGCAAACTCTCAATTTAAAATAAATCTCAAATTACTAAACAAATATCTCCTTCCAGTTCTCACTCTTTTATATAATTCTACATTGCTCACAAATCTCTAGCCAATAGAATTAAATATATCAATCTTAACTATAAGCCACTGTCATTATTTGAATTTCAAACTTCTAATTCGCCCTGGTCAACGCATGCGTTTTGGCATACCGGAGTCTCCTAAAATCGAAAAAATACAAAATCAGGCAATACGCCTTGCTCTAGGATATAGGATTTCCACTCCTCTAAACGTAATGTACGACAAATCAAAACTTTCCACCATCTCCCATAGACTCACTTATCTCTCCGATAAATTCATTTTAAAACTCATCCCACTCAGAGATTCCCCCCTACTAAACAAAATAAGCTACCTCGACTCCTTACTTACCCCAGACCACGCTATTAGAAATCAATTTAACATTCTTAAATCATACAATAAACTATACCCATCGATCGAACCATACATTAAAAAATATGACATTCCAATCCCCTTCGGCTACAATTATAAATGCACAATACATCAACCCAATGTAGACACAAAATCAGGCCTTACAATTAAATCATCAGATTGCCCACAATCTAAATTCAATGAAATTTTTGCCTCAGATCTACATAGTAAAATATGTATTTTCACAGACGCTTCAAAACAACAAAACTCCCCCTTCACTGGCTTTGCCTACTACACTCCATCCTCAGACGACAGTCAATCATTTAAAATCACTCCAAAAGCATCCATCTACACAGGTGAAGCTTTAGCGATATTTATGGCTCTGAATCATATAGTTGAAAAATCATATGATGACTCAATTATCTTCTCTGACTCTCTTAGCGTTTTAAAAGCTATCAAACACTTCTCACCAATCAAACACAAAAATACCTCCCATGTAATCATCGATATCAAACTCCTTCTATATAACTTACACTCCCAAAATAAAAAAATTGAACTCATTTGGATCCCCTCTCATGTACAAATATCCCACAACGAAACTGTTGATAAACTAGCAAAAAAAGCCATTACAAACGGTATCTACCTCATAATATTACTTCATCACACCGAATTCCTGGAGAATATTCAAAAGCAACACAAAGAACAATTTAACTCAGCCATCTCTTCATAAAGCACTTACAAAGGCACATACTATTTTCAAAATTTCTACTCTTCTTCCTCCCCGAATCCATGGTTCAGAAAATTTAATTATCAAAGAAAATATATCACGACAGTCAATAGACTGAGAAGTAATCATTACTCCTTAGCCGCTAGTCTCTTCAGAAAAAAATTTGTCAAATCAGCCTCATGTGATTGCGGCCACGACTACCAAGACATAAATCATATTGTTTGGGACTGTGTAAACCACACAACCCAAAGAAATATTTTCAAAAGAAAACTTAAAAGATACACAGAAAAAAGAAAACTACCACAAGTTAAAACTACTGAAGAAATACTTAAAAACCCCACCAACACTCCAGCAACTTTACTACTAGAATTTCTTAATAAATGTCAACTATCTATTTAAAACAAATTACTAACAATGCTAATAATTCTACTCACCATCCTAGATTCCAATTCTATGTCTCCAATAAATCACCATACCAAGTACATACACTATAATTAATTAAATATATATTGAATAATTACTCTCACATTTAAATTTATAACTTTCGATCACGCATGCGTATTGGCTTATCGGCGTCTCAGTGAGAGACCCACCGCCATCTAGTAAACTGAAACTAAACTGAATACAGCGCGGCACCCATGGCAACTATTGGAGAGAAAAGAGACAGACAACCAAAACTGGAGAGTCCGGCGCAGTAAGTCGGCGAGTGCGCACTGGAAGAATAATGACTCGTGATTTACACCGATAATAATAAATAATTGAACATATCGTATTCACAAAGTTTTTCCGCTTGTTTCTTCTGTTTCGTTGGTAAGTTTTTTTAAATATTCATTGGTTTTTCATGCAACGGCAATCTATATAAACGTATAGATTTTACTACTGTTTTGAGGTTACTTCATTTTGGAGTTAGACTTCAAGTCTTGTTTATACGTCACCCGGTAGGATTGGTTTTCGTTATACGTTTATGTATACTAATGGAACATTGTACTATTTTCGATTCTCATCGTGAAGAATATTTCTAGCTTACTATTTTTTGTATAATAATTTGACTGACACGAACGTCTTATATTGATATATATTTGTTTATATACTTTATAGAAAAAATTATAAATCGTATAAAAACGTATCTGTAAAAAAACTAGCAAACAAATTTCATTTATGTTAAATAAATATAACATTTATTAGTACATATTTTTATAGAAACAAGAAAAGGAGTTTAGTGAGTCCATGCTACAATTACATTTAGCATGTAGTAGAAGCAGATTATGACTTTTATTGAATTTACGATTGATAAAATTACGCTTGAAATAACATCTAACAAAATGAAATTTTTTACATTTTATAGACACATCTGTAAGTAGGTAATGTTAATTATGTGAATTGAGACCCAGCAGTTAATTTGTTAATGATTTTATAACGAAAAGATTCCAAAACTGTCCAATCGATTATAAGTTGGCTCATAAAATAACTGTGTTTAGGAATATATATTTGAAATTTATTGTTGCTTTATAATTACGTTTTAATATTTTATTGCCCTTTATATTCACTTTAATAATTTTTTTTTACGTTTTCATTTTTAAGGTTTCTCTCTTCACATCTGGATTCTCAAAGATTTTAACCTTCGTGTACTGACCTCCCGATACGATACTCGTGCAAACGACGGATTTGGGTTGGGTTAACTCTTAAGTGCCATCTCTAGCGAATATAACCAAATCAGCAATGGAAACTAGGTAAGTTAGTCTTTTTTAATTTTGTTTCCAATGTATTTTTAAACGGTTAATTAAATTATATTTTACGATGATTATTTATCTGTATTTTTTTATCGTTTCAGTCCGATAAAATAATCATTTGATTAGTGATACAGATTTTCGATAGTATTTATTGATAAAATCAATAATATTCTATGCACAAACATTTTTATTCTCTTCTTATTGAAATTTATAATCTAAGGTTATTAAAAATTTTTTAATAATTAATTGTAATATTTTCACATCAATACGAATATTACTCTAGACTAAGTAATTAACTAGGTATTGTGTTTAGTATTTATATTATGATTTACCGTTGTATGTCTGTTTACGTAGATTGATGAATTTGGTCCTTGTATGCATTTACAAATTATAGTTTTCTCTTTGCACTGAACTATGTTAATTGCCTTGTTACAATTAATTTAATACTATTTCGTTTACGACGAGATAAACTTCAATTACTATCGTGTGTATGTGTGTGTGGATATATATATATATATATATATATATATATATATATATATATATATATATATGTATGAGTATTCATTACGAATAGTGTAGATAAGCTGAGGTATAGTTATATAACAATTTGAATCGTGTTAGAAATATTTCTCGTGGACATTTTTCTTAGAAACGTTTTCAATATTGGTTAAATTGAATATCATAATGTATGGAACCACTAAAACGCCTTGTCATTATCATATAAAACTATTCACAGTCTATTCATAATCCATTCTATTTTTGAAACATTCTAATAGTGTTTCCCCATATACTTCTTTTGGCTATCCAGAATAAAAAAGAACATTCTCTTTGTGTGTTTACTATTTCAGCATCTCGTAACAAAAAATACTTTGAGTATCTCAAAAAAAAATCGAAAAATAATACAAAAAAATAACCAGCCATCCTCGTCGACTGGTTTATTCCAAAAGATGACTGGGGATACATTTGCGTATCTATTATCCTTTGGTGGCAGATGCTATCGAATAACAAGATCCTTTGGTGGACAACGATGTTTTCAACAATTCCAACAGTTTAAACATAACGGCACGCGTGGTCTGCATTTCTATAAGGGACAACGACCTGTCGCTATTGACAATAAGTGGATTTTAGGGCTATGTGCTTCGAGGAAATTGCTGCTGCAGACTCCAACCATCAACTACTCCACTACTAATACGTACTGTCTTCATTTGTTTTATCTTTATTTCTCTTTTTCTTTTATTTGTAGTAACCGAGATAAATAGCGAGAGGGTTGGACGATAATTATAACGGTCAATTTTAAATATGGTGATGGAAATAATTTTTAACGTAAATAGATGACTTGTGTATCTTGAGCGGGCGTGTCTTACGATTTCACATATTTGTTGTATTCAAATTTGATAACAATATTAAATAATAAGCATTGCTATTGACAATGTATTCGCATATGAAGATGCATTGTTTGTAGAAACATAGGTGAAATAATTCTGTCCAGATCTTTCATACAAAATGCATTTTTTTGTAGAATTTAATATTTTTATGCGAAGTAATGACAGACGTTTCCAAAAGTTCCTTAATAACAAAAATGTTACAGTAAATTTTTCAATGGATTTTTGGACATTTTTGGGCTCTATTGAAAATGTCTTATTTCATTGAATAACAAGTTCGATCTAACTTATTTAAACAATCTTCATCGACTATTTTACATAGGTAATAATAGATAAGTTTATCGCATATATATACTCTTGTAATTTGCACTTTATTGTAGATACCATCCTCATCGTTCACCTTTTCAAAGCATCAAAATTTTCTGAATCATTCATTTTTATCACGCTATACACTGTATGTACGACAATATCCTAAAACCTTCTTGTGATTTAGCGCTTATACCTTGCCACACGGCTGTGGCATCGTGCGCTTTTACAACGGAGGCTTAGATAAATTGCTCCCAGCGCAACGTATAAAATCTCCACCTCCTCCCCTGACCCTTCTCTTTCATGGTAACTATAACGAATCGTTCGCGAAAAGCTTCGCGCGTGAATATACTTCATAAATTTCAATTGTTGCTTATCAGTAAATCGGATAGTATCAGGCCATCCATCAAGCTCTTCGAGGCTCGACTTTACCTATCTCTTTCACTCTTTGGGTAGAATAATCTCGTACTCGAAGCGATAACGCAATATGTTTTATTTTTGATTACCTGCTACGTGACTGTTAGTTGATGAATAATACGAGCTTTCTGTCAGTTTTAATATGTAATATTCTTGTTTCTGTAGAAATTTCAGAAACCAAAATATGTATATATCATACGAAAATTGGTTAGTTAACAAAAAGAACGCTGTCGATAAATTGTCATATTTATATCATAATCAAACTAAACAATTCAGAGCGTTTTTTTCCAACCGTTCATGTAGAATAGAAGTTTTTGCGTTAGGATACCTCTACACACGACACACGTACGCGCGCATATTCACACGCATGGACACACACATGCATAGAGTACATCAAGATATAGAAAATTCATTTCCCCAGTATCGGTTGGTATGTGTACAATAATGTCCAGGGAAAAAAGGAATGAGTTGAACAATTACATTGATTTAATTGTATCTGGTTTTGTCAACTCGATTAGTTGAAAATAATCAACTATATTTGATTGAACAAACTATTAAGCTTGTTTGATTGAATTAATGCACTTGTATATCATTAAATTACCGAATCGTATAGTTTTTAAGCGAAATTACTTGTTGTTAATAATTATTGTTACGAAACTAGAGGCAACATTTTCGGTACAAGGCACATTATGTGCACTTGCCTATCTTAAATATATTCGTCTATTATTTTGGAAATCGAATTTTGAATTCGAAGTTTATATTGGAATTCAAACTGAACATATATCGAATGCAATCGTTTAATAGTGGCATAGACGTATCACGCATGCTTCGCGTACCTGCAGATTCTCAATTTATTCATTTTCTGCCGGAAATGGAATAAGAACTTGATATTATATTGAAAATGCTATCGACTACTAAAACAACATGGAATCGCATCTAGACAAATATGATAATAGGAAAAGATATTTAAAGATTTTGACGACTTTTAGTAACGACTATATATATAATACTCTACAATTGGTTAATCGTGATCTGTAAGGTATAAAAGTTTATTTAAAAATCATTACTATTATTAGAGAGAAACCGTGCCAACAGCTTTTCTTAGTTTTAAAGTGCTATAGATATCTGTGGGTGAGGTGCGAGGACTTGATATTATTAATTGCAGTCAAGTATCCAATTAATTGGGATTGTTTTAATAATATTTTCGTATATAAATCAATCGGTATTTTTAAGCGTTAATAGAGATTGTCGTTGATTATTAATTAACGCTATCCATTCTGTGACGGCATTCGAATAATCAATTTAATGAACAAGCAATTTCAATAATCAATTAAGTGCTTGCACTGAACTGCTTATTATTTCTGATGATTAAATTTGTTTACCTTTTTTAATGATCGTACAATAAGTATATTAATAAAATTATCACGTTAAAAATTGATTAATGGAAAAGATGATCATGAATAATTTGATGTTCACATAAAATATCGACAATTCATAATTATTTTTGATGACGATGAAAGCGCTTTGGACTTAATGTCGGTTTGAATGTTAATGTGGTCCTCATCGGTATATACTTGCTAATTAGCTATTATATAACTTGCTAATGTATTCACGAATATTCGAGATAACAAGCCACTATAATTGCACGCACACATTTGTGCTTGGAATTGTGTACAAAGATCCGAAACTTTACCATCTAAAACTTGAATTACTTGGAAGTGCGTTGTGAACTTTATATTTTCAATTATCATAAAAACCACAATTTGCGTTGGGAAAAAAAGAATAGACGTACCATTCTCAAAAATTTTTCTTTAAAAGTTGAAAAAATTATTTGTGATAGTTTATAAATTAGCTGCGGTAGTCTATCGCCAAAGTAACTTTATACAACAGTGCCGTTACAGTATTGCAACTCCTCTTCCAAGCTCATCAACGATCTTACCCTCGGGGACTCGGGACAAGTATCAGTAATTTTGCTCTTTGGACTTGACATTTCCAAGGGGCCAAAGTGCGCGTTCTATTAAACTATCGCATTGGCAGCGAAAGCTTTGTGGCTTCTGCAAGCTAAAATTAACTTGCAATGCTCAAAAGGCCAAAAAGAAGAGGAAGAAAGATTTAATTAAATCAGTCAAGTATAGAAGCCCTCGTAACAATGTCAATTGGAAAAATGTTTCTCTCGGAAAGAGGCGAATTCTCAGTTGATAGTTTTCCTCGAACGAAAAAATTTTAATTTATATAAATCTCTTCATTGATGCTCAAGAAACCTCGTTACAGCTCGATATCTTTTCTTTTCGCCTTTTGTTTTCAAATTACGTGAAATATCTTAGTTATACCCAGCATGAAACCTGCTCGTTGAATTTCACTTGAGTTATCTCATCTCGAAGAGATTAACAGGTGAACTTGCGAGTACAAGTTGGCCAAGTATAAAGCGTCTCTCTCTCTCTCTCTCTTTCTCTCTCTCTCTCTCTCTCTCTCTCTCCCTCTCTCTCCCGCTCTCTCTCTTACGCCATTGTTTGACGTAAATGCATACACTGTGCTATAGATATATAGAGACATCGTGTTTACGGGCATAACGGACACAATTATTGTACATCTCTATTTGATATAAATCCCTTTTGAATAAGCAAATATCTTATTAAAAGCGTTATAACTTTGAAATTATTACATTATTCACTTTGATGTCGAATATATGATATTGATACTATCTATCTATTCATGTAAAATATTCATTGAACTCGTATAAATTGATATAGTTTATAAATTTATATATAATATGCTAATTTGCAATAAATAAATTATATATTAAATATGCAGAAATCATAAATACACACGAATTAAATAGTATATAATCGAATATCAAAACCTTTCATAATTTCTTAATGGATCTTTTAAATAATCTTTTCGTACACTAGACTAAAACTATTGTTTATAGACAGCATGTTTAAAAAAATGATCACGTTGAAAATTGATACAAATATATCTATAAAACGATTTTTGTTTCAATTAAAAAATCTGTCAAAGCTCACATCTGCTTACTAGTCAAAAAAAATAACAAAACATTCAAATTAGACCGCAAAGCACTGGCTTGCCTAGTGAATCCGTCACTGAAAAATTCCATTACGATGTTTTCAGATACATCCAGTCTCAGTTGAAAATCGAGCCAAACATCTGCAGTTCAGACTACGATGGCATAGTGCTGATATCGGGCACACCACCAGCCGAATGCGAGCCAGAGCCGTTCAAGTCGGTGATCTTTCAGGCGGCGCAAATCGACAATGCACTATTCGAGAACGGAGCCGTATTGCCGATCAATCTGCCAGCCAAACGACTGATCTATAGTCCTACTGGACTAATCAACCCTGACTATGGCGACGTACGAGCTTTCAGTGAAGCCGCAGTCAAGGGCATCAAACGGTAAGGCTTAAATTGTCACGAATTGTACGCTGCTATAGGCACACTGATGGATTTCGACGGGAAATACACGGCTGATTAGTGTTGACGACGAATTTGATGAATGTATATTGTAAAAAGAACATTGTTTTTATTTTACTACATACTTAAATAAGTTTGTGGGTTTGAGAATAGTTTTTTCATTAATTTTACTAAATTAGATCTTTTTGTTTTTATGGTATATTGGATTGAGTTCGTTATTTCAGTGCTAAATTCAATTAAAAGGGCAATGGTATTAAATCTAAAATCCTTCTCTTTATAATTCTCAGGTATAGTTTAAAATGTATAAGATTGAACATAATTATTTTCAATACATAACTATGATGAAACGTAACTAAGCGTTTTATCTAACCATCAAAACTATATAAAAATCGAACGCACTAGAGAAAACAGGAAAAGTAGATCGAATTCGATATTTATCGATTATATTTTTTTCTGGAGAACAGATATTTGTTGCACAGCCATCAAAACGATAATCAGTTCCTTGTTTCTATTTAACTTGTTACAAAAAAAGAAAAGATATAAATTCAAGAGAACACTTCAAAGACACGTAAATCAAGAGCCGACTTATCGTTTCACTCTGCTTAAACTACCCGTGCAAGTTTAAGTATTCTACAATTAATATTATATGTATATATTTGCACAAGGCGGAGTTGAAACATTGCTCAAGTAACACGCAAATGGATAAACTTGTCGTTGCACACGTGTAGACTAAGATAACTGATGATAATACGATTCAGTCGCGTGATGTTGCATATCGTTGCTGCTGTACTGTGTATACCATTATACGAGCTGCAAAGGAGGATAATGGAATCCCGCTTCTTTCGCGTGCGCAGACTGATCGGAATAACAATTGCATTATCGTCATGTTCATGCGAAGTCTCGCGCTGCCGTTTATCCCTCCGCATGTTTGCGATACATCGACGCGGGATGATGGGATTATAGAAGAAGAAAATGGAAAACAAAAGAACTTTATGAATAAGAAGTGAAACTATAACGGGTCTATAAAAAATTATAAGGACTGTGCTATAAAATTTTTATCTTCAAGAGAAAAACTTTAAGCGTTTGCGCGGACCAGCAACTTGCTTGAAAATTGAATTTTTAAGATTGCCACGGGTAGAGAAATAGTTAATGCATTGGCACTTAATCGTATACTTCTCAACAAATGAATTTCGCGAAAATAGAGTAATTTTGCAAGTAATTATCAAATACCTAAATTGACTGAAAAACTGAAAAGTGCATTCCAATCAAATGACTACTTGTACATTCGCGTGTTGACTGTTAAGCCTTGGTAAAGTAAATATGCATAGGGGGGATAGTGGCAAACGCAATTAGGAAAACTATGCAAAGGAATGTTTCGTTTTGTTTGCAGGGGATTGCAAGCTGGTGTGCGTTGCCCGCTACTGGTATTGCTGCCCGACTCGCGTTTCGAGAACGTAGAGCTAGTGACGTTGCTTGGTGCCCTGGAGGCTCTGTACGTGGTGAGCTTAAACAAAGCAAATCCTTTCCTCCGAAATCTTCATGCGGTAACTGTACGAACAGCAGCATTAAGCTGCCTCACTCGCCTTTGTTTCGGAGCAAACGTGTTGAATCTCGCTCCCTTCCTGCTTTGCCGTGCCGCACCTTCTTTATAGCGATTTTCCGGAATTCAGATTCAGGCGGGCCAAGATAACTTGTCAACTACATGCCGGCATAATTGTGAGACCGAGTGTTTTAATTATATTTGCAACCAGGATTTTGGAATTCTCTTGGTGTTATTATAAATTAATGGAGGTGCTTGAGTTTATGATTTCAAGTGTGGTTATTCGTGCATCAATTTTAACATAAATTTCTACGCGATTTTCAGTAATTTACAGACACTTTTTTCCTAGTTTTGAGAAGTTTCTGAACAATTATTACTACATAAACAAAGAATTCCATCAAGAATCAAAACATAAAAAGGATGTACGAATTTATTAGATTATATCTCTCCGTTTTTTTTTTTTGTTTTTTTTTTTTTTTTACAAAATCTGCGCAATCCTACAAAATTCGCTGTGCGCTCTAATATAATAGGCTTACAATTTTGATAAAAATTTAGATAAGCCGAAAAGCATTACTTCTAAATCGGACTAAGCGTAAAAATATGTTCTATTTTCAACGTAGAAGACTATACTTTGATGAAAGATTCTATTGCAAATTTTAAGATGATACATATATGTAACTTCTATTTTGCATCGCTTTATATTCTTGTACATTTTTTTTGACTGATAGTAGTCTTGAGTGATATTTTATAAGGATAAAAATTTTTATATAAAATTCACAATTATTAGCATTTTTAAATTAACCTTTACAACTATCAAGAGCTTAAAATACTCGAATATGGATATTTTAAAATGTTTAAATGTATCGAGAAACATTTGACAGAACTATTATACGAACTGATATCAGAAATTGATCGAAACCACACGCGGGTAAAACTATGCAGTAAACTTTGTCTCGACAATCCGTTCGAATTAAAATCAACGTGCCGAAACAATGTCGTGGTACGCTCGGAAGAAACTTGATACCTGCAGTCGACAGCGTGTCTGGCCACAATAAGAATTGCGTCCCCAAGGTGCAATTGACTCGTATCGAACCACGTTGACAATTTCCAGTTCGAAATGCCAAAGTAACTCTCAGTTTATGTTCGACCTTCCAGGAAATAGTATACATACACACTGGACAATGCCAAGCTTGCAAAGGCGCGTCGACCAAAATTAGTCAAATCTTTTGCGAGCTTCGCAAGCGCTCAAATGCCAACGATGGAATTTTCTTTTTTGCGCGTCTAAGGACAGACAAGAGATGACGCACGTTTGACCTCGCTTTGAAGTAGGGCTGAAAAATTGAGAATTTTGTGAATTTCCTGTAGAATTTTAGCTCTGCAGCGTTGAATAGCTCTTTAACGAGAAACAATGCGCGAATAATGAGTTGTTGATTTCACACGATTTATATTCTTGAGATGTCTCGTAGATTGTTTTTTCCTATAACACGAACTTACATTTCAAACATCAATTGAAGAAAAGAACGCGTAAAGATACGACTGTTGTTTCTTTAGATTCGAAGCGCTTTTAGAAAGAAAGTAGATAGTGGTAGAGAATTAATCACGAGAAAATGTGAATAGTGGCATCTTGCCAAGTTTTCAAAATGTAGAAAGATTTTTATGAGAAAAATAAAATTTCTAAGATACGCACGGATTGTGCACTCAAATATTCATTCTCACCAAATGATTTAAAATACCTTAAAAGAAGTCAATGTGACTGAAGCTTCGCAAGTCATCGCAAAAGTGTGGCTTAGGCGATTAATGTATTTGGTATTTTAGCTCGAAATACTTTTAAAAAATTTCGTCGGAGCCAGCGAAAAAAATAAAAAGGCTTTTGCGATCTGCTAATGTTCTTCGATATCTGTTGGTAGCCCCTGGAGATTCGTGAAGATCTACCCGAACGATGCTACAAAGCGGCCTGTCTTGGTGTCTGGAGTCCTATCTGTCCTAAGAAGCTCCAGGGTGTGGTGAAACTGTCGTCTGCGCTAGAGAGCGGCAGATTCGTCGCTCGTGATATCGGTAAGTATTATTTTCAAATGCAGCCCACAGTTATCTTTCTCTCTTCGAGTTCAGTTCAAAGTGAGATAACATGACCTGGTTTATCACGCGCTCAGTATGAAGGAATAACGGAGTCATAGTTTGGAATTTAATTATAGAGATTTCCACGAGATAGTTTTTGTAGTCTCACAGAATTATATTTACTTTTAAAAAAATTTAACGTTAGATTATAGTAGTTTAAATATTCTATTCCAACAAAAATAATATTGACGTATAATTTACATATGAAATTTTTAGAATATATTTTCATGTGATTTTTTAATAGAAATAAAAGTTTTGAAATTTACAAAAAGTTGCACCATATGTAATAAAACGAAAAATTGTTTTGTCTCAGATATAATTTTCATAAAGAATGTATAATCAACAAATAAGTTTTTTTTTAACATAAATGAAGTATAAAGAAACAGCACTTAAATACCTTCAAATTTATGTTCATAATATGTCTAAATCTATAACAGAATTTTTATTTTATAACATTCTTGAACGCTAAAGAAAAAAAAACAGGAAAAAAGTAGCAAACGTTAGAAGTCTGAAAAATCGACAAAGGATATAACCGAATATGAGAGTGAATTAGTCAACGAAATTGCTATGAGTTGTACAAATGCGTCGTATAAACAAGCAAATAAACAAAAGAAGGTTTAATTGAGTGTTGCTTGTATATCGCGACAAGACCCTCTTATCTCATCCTAGGGAGTCATAGTGATCATCAATTGTAATGTCAGACGTATCATTTTGTCGTGACTTTCAAGCCAATTCTTTGTTGCAATTCACCTTTACGTCTTCCAAACTTTCGTAGAAGATATGAGAGTCGAAAAAAATTTGAGAAATTGAGGGAAAAAGTATTAGGAAAGAAATGCGATTAATAATCGTCATTCGTCGTTTCTTTTTGCCTTCGGTGAAAGAAAAGGCTAGCGATATTTCAAACAATTTTCATTTAATCACTTTTGCTCAATCCCCGGTGCTAGGAAGATTCTTTGTCAACTTTTTCCGAATGATTATTCTTACTTACTTTGTGTCTAGTGTAACAACACATTAATCATGTTAGTTCCATGTAGAAAACAAACACAATTTGTTAACTTTTAGTGATCCAAAGTTTTAAGGAACGAAAATTAATTATTCATAATTTTCAATCGATATCACTGAAAAATTTGACAGTTTATTCCAATCAAGACATATTTCAAACTCAAATAAGAGAACAATATTGTCGAGATGGTCGGCAATAAAGAAAGATAAACTGTATTTTTTATGCCGATGGATTATGAATTCAGCTCACGCAGAAAAAAAACGAAAGCTCACTGAAAAAGTTTGAAAACCGCGTGAAATTGCCAGTCGGTTATTCCGCACGAAAAAACGTCGCGTCGGCGAGCTTGAGTAACCCTGGGGGTGCAATTTCAAAGCGAAATTGGCGAAAGCCAAATAAAAGGTAGAAAGGAGTCACAGAGGGAGAGAGAGAGAGAGAGAGAGAGAGAGAGAGAGAGAGAGAGAGAGAGAGAGAGAGAGAGAGAGAGAGAGAGAGAAACTCTGAACACTGCTTGAAATGGGGAAAAATTTGTACGAAAGAACAAACTTCGGAGTAGCTGAAGAAGCTTAATAGAAAAGGATTATGCGCTATTCCGACAAAAAAAATGAAGAAATTAATTGCTTTGACAAAATAAAAAAATGTATAGAATATATCTTCAATCTATTCTTACAAGAAAATCGATTAGAAAGATTTTCTGTAATGAAATGAATAAAAACTTGAATATTTAGAATAACACGTTAGGACCCGAGAAAAGGCATTCAAAACTCGCATTTCTTTATTGCGCAAAAGCTCGATAAGCACCCGAAATCGCGGGCGTAATCCCGGATATGCGAACGCTCGTCGATCTTTGCTAGTTAACCGGCTATGTCCGCGCGTGCGCACGCGTGTGTTTGTGTATGTATGTCGTTGATTGAATTTCGATCGAAAATTGGATTACGCGCGTCTTGCCCACGCATCGCTCGCGAGCTTCAGCTTGTTTTGGTCAGGATTGCACGCAATGCGTGACGTACCCCGAATTGTTTCAGAGATGCACACTCACTCTCTGCTCTCTGCTTTCTGCTCTCTGCTCACTAGGATTATTGTTTGCACATGTAATTTCGATTTTTCCCTTTCTTTGGTATTTTGCGACTTTGGACTAGTGATTTGACTGAATACTTAAGATTCGTTTTTGAACAAACATACATATTGAGAATATCAATTTTTATCGACCTTTCTATTTTTTCGTATCTTCTAGTGACTTGTTTATTTATTTAATGATTTGATAAATTTATCCCATTCACAAAATTAATTATTTGTGTTTTGAAACGATGCGTCCGCTGATTCATGAAATATAAATCTACGACAATAATTTTATATTATATTATTATTTAAAATCTTATTTGTCTTCATATTCTATCCCTGAGTTATTTATTAAAAAAAATTTGATTAAAATATTGGATATTAAAATATTGAATTGGACAACATGCCTGACATAAAGAATAAATTTTTCCGACTGAAGAATTTGAATAGGAACTCAGCTTAAATAATAATCTAGTAATACATAAAAAAACTTTTTCAACAGGTGGCACGGATCCCGAGCGCATGGCACCACCGAACGTCGAAAATTACGTAACGGAATTGTTTGCGGGTACACGTATCAGCGTCCAGGTGATCTCCGACGTACCGACATTACAGAAAGAGTATCCATTGTTAGCAGCTGTAAATCGTGGTGCATCAGTTATACCACGTTACGCTGGTCGTGTGATCTTTTTGACTTACGAGCCTCAAGATCCAAGCTGCGTATTAGAAACTCTAATGTTTGTCGGCAAAGGTGTAACCTTCGACACTGGTGGCAATGACATCAAGATCAGTGGCGGCATGGTCGGAATGAGCCGTGATAAGTGTGGTGCTGCTGCTTGCGTTGGTCTCATGCAGGTAAGTCTTATGAACAGTCGTAGCAAACAAAATCGTTTTTTACTGAAAGCATGTATTTTTATTTGACAGACGGTGAATCTTTTGCAACCACCAACGGTGAAAGTAGTTGTGGCAATTGGAGTGGTGCGTAACAATTGCGGTGAAAATGCTTACGTTGCGGACGAAGTGATAACGGCCCGTTCGGGTGCGAGAGTTCGCGTTAATAATACTGATGCCGAGGGTCGCTTTGTTATGGCTGACATCCTTTATCATATGAAGGAGATGGCATTGTGTTCTGTTAATCCGCACATCTTCACAATTGCCACTCTCACTGGACATGCTTTTAGGACTGCTGGTAAAGGTTATTCGGTGAGTGATGGATTAAAATTTTTTTTTTCTTCGCAAAAAGAATATAATTAATTTTCAGAAGGTCTATATCTAGTTTTCTAGTTAATAATGTGTTATTTGCGCAATTAATTAACTACTCGTGCTTATAACATGAAGCTCGTTTCAATTTACATGCTATTCTTCTTTTCTGTTCTTCGTTCTCCGGACACTTTCATTCAAAGTTCTGCTTTCAAAAGCCAGACGACTCCTCAAACTCAAACAGTAATTAAATCGTCGACGTTGCTCTTTTTTTGTTCGTCTTTGTAAAACATTTTAATGACTACTCCTTTTTTTATTGTGTAACTAGAAAAAACCGGAGCTCATAGAAATGAAGATTTCTGATTCTATGACAGGCTTTAATAAACACCGACAGAAGTTTTAAAATAGTTGACATCTTTTAATAATTGATTGAAGCGCTTTATAGTTTTTTAAAGACAAATTTCCAATAGTCCGTCTCTTGGTTGATTTTGTCTAATAGTGTAATCGATTCAAAATTGTTTTACAACGCCGATGCAGTAGCCTTTAAAAAATATGTTTGTGGTAGCATATTTGAACTGTTTTAGTTTACTCGCTTAACTCTGTCAGTCACGCCATTTGTAGAGTTATTTGATCATTATCATAACCTACTATATTAATGTTTTTGAGGTCGCTAATTACGAAAAATGAAGTCAGAATTTGCAAATTCAAAATAGCGGATGCAATCTGACAGACGGAATATGTTAACTTTAGTAAATATGCACTAAGAATTCTTTTATCGTGTACACTTTAAATACTTTTTTCATTTGAATTGACATATTTGTAACTTATTATGAAACACCCTCCTCTTTTGATACACGGGCTTACGATCGTCTATGGCAGAGTACTTTTCGATTTTTTTTTCATTTTTTTTTCTTATATTTGATTGTAAGCACGAGTAATTTATTCATTGTTATTTTTATCATTTTAAATATTTTTATCTAATTAGTGGCAATTTTTATTTATGATTTTTTATGGTATACCTCGTAGTCGTTATTTTTTCTCTAATGCTTAAGGGAACGTTACAAATGCTATTTGTTAGAATCTAACATATTCGTTGCCAGTGACCTCAAAAACCTACAAAACAAATTTTCAGTTCTCATTTTGCCGAATATGACATTTTCTGTCAGTTATATTGGATCCGCCATCTTGAATTTATAAAATCTAACTCCATATTCCTAATCAGCAACCTCGAAAACCTTAAGATGAATAATTTTTAGCATGTGTTCATTGTCTAGTTTCGTCGGTAGATTTTAGATTTATGAAAACACTCTTTTTTGTATTATTTATTTAGAACAATAATAATTATGTACAAATTCGTAAACATTACGAAGCACTTTAAAGTTTAAGAAGTTTAGTACCAAAAAATCTAAAAACTTTCTCATTTACCGATGATTTCAAAGAATAAATGAAGAAAAAAGGAAATTAAATATATAGCCATTATACACTATGCCTTCTGTGATTGAAAGGGTTAAATGTTTCTTTGATAATTTCTTGGATGATTTAATGATCATATCTTTAAAAGAATAAAATAAAATAATAAAAAAATTTATACTTTTTTAGCTTTATTAATTCAGAATGATTGAGAAAAAACATTTCCGTCTTTATTAAGAAAAACATACGTATACATTTAACTCTTCAACATAACAAAGAAAAAAATCCCACCATATATGTATCTCTCACTTTATGTGTTGGTAACAAACCTTTTATCCGCAACTAAGACGCGACGGCGTTTTGCATTCTTTTTATTCGTGTGAAAAGCTCTTACCGACGTCACGGCAGAGTGGCTTGGCGTTGTTTTCTCCGCACCGCGTGCGGCAAATCATAGCTTTGATCATAACGAAGACGCAGACGGTCTATGCGCGCGCGCCCATACCGCGAGCGAAGTGTATAAGGAGAAAAACGAGAGAAAATAGATGAAGAATCGGAAGTAATAAGAGAAGTCTTTATGCATCGCGGTGCATCTTCTTATTTTCGCCCCGTTTTTCTCGCGGATACGCCACTTTTTAATAAGCAGCCTGTCCACCCACACAGTTTTACTGGAGCTTTTTACACGTTTATGCATGACGCTGATATTAAAAAATCTGCTAGTTCCTTTTATTTTTGCAGCTTTCTTCTAGCGGCGCGTAAGCTTCCCTTTCTTATGTCTTTGAGCGACACATCCCTCGACCGTAATTATGGCGACTTTACTTTAAAGTCAGTCTGATTGCGATGAGATGCTTCTTTGCATACTTTTTTTTCGTTCTTATTAGTTGAGGAGATGATCTTATATTTTTTTTTTATTTGTTTTGTACAAGTGTAATTAATACATGTGGTTTTGATATCAAACAGAATAAAAATATTAAAGTATTCCAAGTAATACATTATTTGCCTTCTATTCGACATTAATTTTAATGAGACATGTGGAAGTTTCTTTCTAATTAATAGATCAACTTGCATTCCAGAGCATAAAATTATTCTAGCTGATTTGCGGCTTTACATAGAAAGTTATAATGATTACTATCGCAGTAATATCTAATCAATCGTAATCAATATTATTATATTGATTTTACAGTGACAATGTATGCCGAATGATTTGAAATTCATTTTATATCACATTACTGAAAATATATTTACTTAGCAAAGAGATTAAAGAAATACATTTCAATAACTCATCTCATTCTTTCCCTCACAGATAGCACTAGACAATTCAGTCGCGAGAACGGAATCGAACGCCTACAAGTTGCAAGCTTGCGGTGAAGTGATGGGCGACCCAATGGAAGTGTCGATATTACGCAAAGAAGACTTCGAAGCGCAAAAGGGCAAATGCGAAGGCGATGATGTTATTCAATCTGGTGGTAGTAAAGCTCAAGGTGGTCCTACAAGAGGACATCAAGGACCTACTGCTTTTCTTGTTATGGCTTCCGGACTTGATAAGGTAAGCTTTTTACATTAATTTGTTCTAAATATAATATAATCTAGCTTTTCAAAGCAATCAATCGATGTAATTTGATCAACGATTTTTAAATAAATCCACCAAACCAAAGTAGTTACGTAAATGTACATCGCAAACATCATACTCGTAATACGGGTATGTGAAATGGACTACTTGAAGTGCATAATCCCACATGCAAAAAATATCGCTTGACCGTGTGAGTGCTGTTTGCATTGATTAAAATGGAACTAGTGACGTGCGGGGCGTGAATAAATAATGACGCGGTAAGCCCTTGTTGAACAGGCCAAGAGCCAATTAGATTCCAAATTGTGCCTCCTTGCTCGTCGATTGGATTTACAAGCAGCCGAATTTGCCCATCAACAGAAGCTTTAACCAACAAGCGCTTTGAATTAGGTGATTTTTTTCACCCAACGATAAGCGGCTTTACGTACACTCGAATTAAATATTTTTCCTACGTACAATACACGTTCATAGCTTATGGATACTTTTATTTATTTTACTCGTTGCGGGCTTATGTCATTTATATATTGTAAATTTTTGAAAAAATTCAATTGATCCTATAGTGAATTTGATGTGTGTACTTCAATTATTCGTAGCACCGCTCTCTCTCTCTCTCTCTCTCTCTCTCTCTCTCTCTCTCTCTCTCTCTCTCTCTCTCTCTCTCTCTCTCTCTCTCTCTCTCTCTCTCTCTCTCTCTCTCTCTCTCTCTCTCTCTCTCTCTCTCTCTCTCTCTCTCTCTCTCTCTCTCCCTCCCTCCCTCCCTCCCTCCCGCCTCTCGCTCTAATACTGCTTTGTACTAGAAGTATTTATTTCTGTGGGAGAGAGCTGTTGGAAAATAAAAAAAGAAACTCAAGCTCGTAATCGGATTATATGGTAAGAGCTTATTCGTGTTTTCTGTAATAAAATCGATAATTCACTAACTGAAGAAGTAACGTCTTCTTAACACAAAAATAATGTGATTAAAAAGCGAGAAAAGGAATATGATCTACTAATTTCAAATTAATATCGTTCACTTAGCCAATATATCGCTGAATATAAATAGAAAATAGAAAAGCTATTCAAAGAACATCACACTCTATGTCATATTCTCCAACTCATTACATAACAATTTCAAGCACACGCGGCGGCGACGGCATACAGTCCCATTAGATCCCGATTTCGCGTACTGAGTGGGCCGAGCGTCGTTCGCAGACGACTCGTGATGTTTCCGCAAGTGACGACGACGACGACGAGAACACATCGTGCCATGTGACTCTCTCTCTCTCTCTCTCTCTCTCGGCATCTGGCATTGGCTTTGTCTGCTTGTGCCGTTGTTGTGTCACGACAACTCTCCATCCGTTAAACTCCAGACGAATCGGTTTTGCGAAACGAGCTTTTGATTGCTGTTACACATGATGTGCTTCGTTGTGCACGCGCTTAGATTAGACTGACGCGCTTTATTTCTGTCTCCTCATTTATGCGCTGTTGATAGCAATTGAGCTTTGATCAATTAGATTAAGAAAATTCATTTTCGCAATAATGTGCTGCGGTAATGAGGTTTCGTAAATTCATTAGTGAAATTGCGTTATATTGATTGTACCATTTTCAATTTGCTTTATACTGATGAAATCAAGCGCGAATAAATTAGATTATGAAAATTCATTCATATTACAATGGTGACGATTGACATTTTCAGCAGAACAGCAAGGTTAAATTTTTGCATAATTGAACAAAGTACGTTATTTTTATTATAAATGTTACATTTTACGAATAAGTGAAAAGCATAAATAATATGAGTAATTGTTCTAAGAATCCAAAGATAAACCTCCAAGATCTAATTCTCAAAACCAACTCCATATTCGAATTATAAGCTTCTCCTCGATGATAATCAATATTAAAATATTTTGACTATTTGTTGTAGCATGGAAAAGTTGCTGATAAGCCATTAAAATATACTCATTTGGACGTCGCAGCTAGTGCTGGTGATATGTCTCAGAATGCTACGGCATCACCAATTCTTGCACTCTCCAAACGTTTCCTCGACAACGAGTTCCACAAAAATCTCGTCGTTGATGGCGAACCCAAGAGCCCTGAGAACTAAATATTGACCTGGATGTTTGCCTTTCCGACAGTTTGTTCGTCTTGTTTTGATTTGTCTTTTATTGTTTTTATAATTTATCAAATGCTGAAGCTTTTCATAAATAATATGTACAATTTGGAACGTATATACCAGTTTTCGTATTAGACCGTCTTATTTGGGTTTTTACGTGCAAAGAACGCTCAATCTGTAATGAGGTCGCTTACGCGCAAGAGGCGCCTCAGTAGCACCTCGGCTTGTTTCTCGACTCTTGCAGCCTAGGAGGCAGAGAAAAGAATGGCTCCTGAGCTATGTCGAATTCATTACAACCTGGGAGAATGATTCATGCACGCTCCTTGGTCGTTTTTCGATCTACTAGTCTTACTACGATTCAAGTCACGAGGGGCAAATGGTAACTGTAAAATCTAAGTGTAGTTGCGTCGTAAGTGACTTCATTATTTATTGAGTGTCACCTCCACGAAAGCTTGAATAAGCGGCTGAGACAAGTGCAAATTCGGCTAAGGTTTTATTTGTATCGCTAAAAATAAGAAGACACAGAAATAACTATTACAGTATGCTCGACATTATTTTGTATGTTTACATTTATGAACAGGATTATATATTTTATAATCTTCAATAAAGCATATACTTAACATCTACCTTCTGTATCAATTTTTCATAAATTTATGGATACATTTTTCGCTAGTTTTTTGTTAAACTCATAAGGTTATAGTACTATCAAATTTATAGAAATTATACTCTAATCACCATATCAACGAATTAATTTTTAAGCGGGTCAGAAGTTTCTGTATAAGCTCATCGATTTTAACATCAAAGCTTTTAATTAACAAACTTTGTCGATGATATAATCCTTAAATAGGAAATAGCGTGACATACTAATGAAAAGCTGTCTTTTCAAATTACGAGAAGCAACATCGCAACGCAAACCTCGCATTTAACTTGGGATTAAAAAGACGAAACGTCACGCTATTTCCTCCTCAACTGATCCCCAATTAACTTTCAAACCTCAATCCCTTTTCAGCACGGACTGTGTAGTGGCGCACCCTTAAAGTACACACACGTCGACATGTGTGCTCACCTGCCAAGACCTCATCATCGCCGCTATTCAGGCAATCCTATACTCGCTCTGGTTTATTGTTACCTTGTGCAAGGAAAATGCCTGACTTTTTATATGGCACCGCCAGGCTGTGAGATCGTTAGATGCTCTGATTGCAAACCTGTCGTTGTATGCAGTCCACCTGGTGTCGTATGTGTACAAGAAGCTCCGTCGTGTGATAAACTTTGTCAGGAGATGGATGATGGATCTTGTCACGGTTAATTGACTTTGTTTATTGGCTAATTATAAAAACATCGTTTTTATAAAAATCAGTACATAATATAATAATTTTTCCAATTTTTGTACTAAATTTTTTTAAATTATAAAACTTGTATTTATAATATTGGGCTTGTGCTGTGCGTTTAGACAATCATTACGAAATCCATCATGAATGTAGTTTAATTCCGAACGTATAATCATGGTTTTCTTTTCATCTTTTTTCATTTAATTTCGTTAATAACTTTTTTCGCTAATGAGTATTTTGGTTATGAGTGATAAATTACACTAATGTAATAAGGAATATTTGATTTAAATTAATAATACTGTAATCCAGGCAAGTTTCATTTCTCAATTCATACTAATTCTAGTGTTATCGAAATATGATTTATTTTCTTGGTTTAAAATGAATAATTAGGTAAAAATTTAATATCGTAAGATATCTTAAAATAGTAAAGTAATGAAGAAGTTTAGAAAGCTTCACTTAATGAAATGCAGAAATATTTAAAATTACAAACAACACTGTTTTTCCCTTACAATCCCTTACAAAAAAACGTGGTCAAGTTGAATTTAAATTATCAAGTTATGGTTTACCATTCGTGAAGTCTGAAGTGGTAAAGTAAAGAAAATATTCAATAGGTGGCGCTAGAATTGATTTCTAGTTTCAGATATAGATATCTACACTTTTGTAGATAAAGAAGATATCTATAGAATATTAGAAGCGTGTGCAATTTATTTATTTATCTGTTTTCCCGCATATATTGCTAATGTTTAATTATGCAAATAAATTGATGATTTTCGTTTTAAAGAAGATGACATTGGTTTGTATTACAATGAAAATTCTTTAGCTGATTTAGAACTTTGATGATTTCGAAATTAACTCTTCTAAAACTAGCTTAATATAAATTTAAACAGTTAGTTACATTACAATAAAACATGCTTTTTTTAAACAGATCTTTCAAAATGAAAAAGCAAATCAGTAATATCGTCGGATTCTTATCGAATTACGATATTTGGTATAAAATTCAATTGTTACAATTGAATGCTCTTTTTGCGAAATAAATAAATAATGAAAAAATGTTTTAAAATGATCGAGCAAATAGGGTGGCATTCATAAAAGCAAAGTAAGAATTTGAATGATTTTTTGACGACCACAACCACACGCGGTATAAAAATTCAGTAGAAAATTAAGTCGTTAAATCCAACATAAAGCTAGAAATAAAAGAATATAAAGAAAGGGATCGTAACTGAGCACACGCTAGAGCCCACACTCCCTGACGTCATCGATTACGGGCATCGCAATGAGAGTGCCCCGTAAAGGCATAGGCTTGCTGCGCGCGTCGAGTGTCCCTTTTTTTCCGTAAAAAACTAAAGGTATAGAGAGTGAGAGAGAGAGAGAGAGAGAGAGAGAGAGAGAGATAGAGGAAGAGAGAGAGAGAGAGAGAGAGATAGAGGAAGAGAGAGAGAGAGAGAGAGAGATAGAGGAAGAGAGGGAGAGAGGAAGGGAAATAGAGAAAGAAAGAGAGACAGACGACGACGACGACGACGACGACGGTGAAGACGAAGACGATGACGATGAAGACGACGACGACGCAGAGAAGCGCCCACGCGGAAGAAAAATCTCTTCGGCGCACACATGCGTAGTTTTGCCTTTTTTGAACGAAACGAATACGGCATGTGTGTGTATGTGTGTACAACAACTTGCCTCTACCGGAAATAATGCGGTTTGCCTGCTCGAATTTAGAGCGGTATCGGACATTTACCGAGGAATCTATGATACATGAAATCATACATGTTTCATGTATCAAAGACTCATGATAGCTGTGCGTACGACAGTGGACAAAAATCACTGTTATGTCGTGATTCATTGCTGTTGAAGAAATTCATTGTCTTTAAGAAAAGACTTTTTCCTTTGACAATTAAATCGTTGATCAGATTATCACGTGTCACATTCCTCTTTTAACGTAAAAAGCATTTTCAAACTACAGTTACGGATTATTCACCAAATATTCATGACTTTGAACAAAGAGACGTAAAACATATGGAGAAAATGAAAAACATTTAGAGAATCTAAGAATTTTGTGACAAGGTTTTTGCCAGATTGTCATTTTTTTATTCTCTTAACTATCTTTTATAAAATCAAGAAAAGTTATTTGGTGCTCTATGTTATTTCCTTGAAACTAAATCTTCGCTATCTCGCTGTTATTAAAAAATGTATCATTTACAATATACTGATCAAATAGTCGCAAAATGTTTCATGTACCGGCAATGCAAATAATTGTCGATGTCATTTATTTCACGTTCGTAGGACTATCAAGTCAGCAATCAACTTTATAACAGATAACATGAATATCTTTATTGAACAAAAAATCTGATAAGTGCATTTGATAGGTTGTCAATTCGACATTAAATGTGATGTACTCACTTTATAACTTGTTTGAAAATAAATAGAATGGTATTCTATTTTCTATATACCTTTAAGGCAAAAAAAACTTTAAGGCAATATATCATCCTTAAAACAAATATATCATTTTTAAGATAATTTTCGTTTTTATAAATCATCATTCGTATTACTATTCCATTACATTTTTTAATATAGAAATTTGTTTTTTACTTTTTGTTAATTATATAATTTTTTTATTTAATGCGACTAACAATTCTATACATTTCTGACAAAAAGCACATGCAAATGTTATTTTAAATATATATTATAGCTGCAGATGTAGCAACATTATTAGTTGTAGAATTAAATATGATACTTGAAAATTGGTCGAAAGCGATTAAGAGATATACAAACGTTTAAATCGAAACTTAGACATTTTAAAAACAGAAGTCTATTGCGAATAAAAGAATTGTCATCAAGAATAGAAGAAAAAAGGCTATCAAACAAGACATATATGCAATTATGTGTTCATGTATCAGAGCACGAATCACCTCCACAGAGTGCGTCAAACCCTCTCTTCGTAACGGAATACGAACGCCTTACCTAACCACTTTTCTTGTCCGCAGCCGATTTCGAGGTCAATAGGGGAAAGAAAGTACATGCATTCGTAGTCTGGGTTCAAGGTGGCTATTTGCATTGGATAATCATACGATCGCCTGCATTCGATTCAGGGAGACGTTTCTTTTTCATCGTTATATACGTCGATGTTACGTATATTCGATTTATTGTTCGCAATATTTTATAATAGGCGTAAACATTCTAAGCGATATTTTCATACCTCGAAATAGCTACAATTGTTGTTTCAACATTCATACAAAAGACACATCATTGACATTCTTTTCCATTTATTCGTAGTGCTTGAACATCATTAATCTTTAATCAGTTCAATCAGCAAGTGTTTTTATTGAATTCCGTACAAAAGAATGATAAGCGATGGTGCAAAGCTTCTCATCCAACTATATTTTATTCCTCCCTAACTTTTCCCTTGATAAACACGCAGCAGCATTTCTGGTCACGTAATTATTGACCTACCCCGCCTCCCTCGTAGCGCACACTTCAGGCACGTGGGTATAACAAAAAACTAACCAACATTTTTTAGATCTCGCTATCTTTCTTGGTGAAACATTTTGTTGATAAAAAAAAAGAAGTATACAGGAGAGAAATCAAACAAGAATTTTTTACGCGGCCGAGCGTCCGGCTGTTACACACAGGAAGTGGATTCGTACGTGGGATGCGTGTGAGAGGAAGAGAGAGAGAGAGAGAGAGAGAGAGAGAGAGAGAGAGCGAGAGAGAGAGAAGGGGCGAGGGACGAAATTCGATCTTTTGTTTCTTCTGCGCGCACGCCTTTGATTTTTTACTGTCTCTCCGACACGATCGATTTGCCTCTATCGACACGTGTGCATGTGTTGTTTCCTGAGATTTTTGGATAATGAAATCCATAATTCTATTCTCCAACACATTCCCCGACACTTTGAGTGGTCCGCTTTGATTTGGGTTCGTTAATGATACGAGGCAAAGATTCAAAAAATGGAAATTATAGTAATTTATATTCGGAAACGAATTTTCGAGAAAATTTATCGAAATTATCGTTTAACCTTTTCTATCCATAGAGATGGGAGAATTAGAATTGTGTATTATAACAAATATTTAAAGAGAAAATAATTTTTCGCGTTCAAAGATGAAAAACGTATAAAAGATGAATAGCTCGCTTCACTTGACTGAAGTACTATAGACGTCTACGTTCAAATTTTATTTTATTGAAGTTGAATCATCTTTAGATAGATATAATAGATATAATACATCAGAATAAAAATCTTGTCATATCACACTGTTCCTTCACAATACACTTCCCTGCAACAACAAAGAATTGATTCG